TTATTCAAATAAAATTTGATAATTCTAATAAATAAATAAACGAATGATTCGAATAAAATGAATAAATGAATAATTCGATTAAATTTGATTAATTTGATTAAACGATTAATTCGATTAAAGCCAATAAAACAAATAATTCGAATAAAAAATAATTTAAATAATTCGAATAAATTAATAAAACGAATAATTTGAATAAACAAATAATTCGAATAAAACGCAATAAAGAGTATAATAATAATAAATAAAACGAATAAACGAATAATTCGATTAAAACGAGTAATTCTTCAAACAATTCGAATAAACGAATAAATAAATGACAATAATTCAAATAAACGAATGATAATAATAATTTGAATAAACAGATAATTTGAACAAGAATTCGTATTATGAATAGAAACTCTACTCTATTACAGAGTCACCGACCGAATCTGGCACACAGCCAATAATGTTCAAACTAAACTAAAATCACCATATACAACCAAATTTCTTTGTAAATAAATCCCAGTTGGTAAAAAATGATATTAAGCTCGTCAGTATTATTATCGCTATTATTATTATTATATATTGTACAGTCGCTAACATTATTACTATTTAATGGTTCACTACTATTACTAGATTTATACTTGAATAAGGTTTATTCAAGTTATTTATTTTATTCGTTATGAATTTGATTATTCGAATAAAACGAATAGGAACGAATAAAACGAGTAATTTGAATAGTTCGAATAAAACGAGTAATTCGAATAATCCGAATAAAATGAATAGAACGAATAAAACGAGTAATCCGAATAAAGCGGATAATTAAGCTAGAGTTGTATTACGAATAATTCAAATAAGAATTTGTATTACGAAAAAAAACTCTATTATTATTGCTATTGCCTTCTTTATTATTATTATCTTTTACCTGCTACGAATATTGCATGTTTTTTTCTTTTATCATTCTTAGTAATGCAGATGGACCCATCTCAATTATGTGTCTATGGCACTGAATTCTGCACTAAAATTCTAGACGTAAAAAAGAATGTAAGAGAAGTTTTTTTTATCATCTTAGCCGGCAAAGTCATTTAAAAATTCATTAGCCGGCTAACCTGATAAATCTCATATCACTATTGGTTTTTAAAATTCAAATTTGGAAATTTTATATGTAAAACATAAAAACACAAAAATACATATTTTTAAACTCAACGATGGATTGTAGTAGATCTATATAGTCAAATGCTATCAAAATAACTCTATTTTTACAGATCGGCGTTCATTCAATATTTATCTCCTTATTTATTTTAAGGTTGCCTAATTTTTATTTGACTGAATAGAAAGTTCTTAGTTTTAATCTATGAGTTACCAAAAACACGCATTCAATAATGTTTTAGTGTAACAAATATTACTTATTATCCACCCATTTAAAAAATGGGAAAATAAATAATAAATGAAAGAAAGCGAAATAAATGATCGATTAATATTAATATTAATAAATGAAAAATTCGACTTTTATGTATATGTATAGATTCTAATGTGGGTATCGTCCACCCTCGCCGAACATTTAACAAATAACGTGATAATTTCAAAAAGACGATAAAAAAAAGATACATTATTTTCTTTTAATTCAACGTCCACTTTTCCATATTTTAAATTTTTTTTTTTCGTCCAAATAAACCCACCTATTTTTAGCTCTACTCTTCCCACTTTATACATTCACAACGAAATTATTTTAATAGCTAATTATAATTAGAGTGACATCAATTACGAGTTAATACAATAAATGTTGATAGAATATTCGGCGCAAGTTTAAGATTTGACTGAATATAGAAAAATTGACTTAATATGGCAAACAGAATATTTTACAACCCGACTAGATCTAGAATTGTTCACATGAACAACCAACCGGTTTCAAAAGTCTCCATAATTTAAATAAATATAAATGAATTACAACATCTTTTAAGCCACAATAATGAATATTCTGTTAGGTACAGCCATCTAAACTTAGTTTTTCTTCAAATAAATGGTTTTATTAAACTATGGCAAATTTGGCCTATATAATAATATGTCAAATCCCTTTTTCAATAATAATAAATTAAAAGGTTATTTTAATAATAATAGTAATATTTTTGTTTTGTATATATTATTAATAACGATAAACCATTTTTCAATAATACACATATGAATCCTGAAATATTATTATATATTGATAAAGCACGACTTGACAATGATCAAATTAGCCTTCTCTTCAATCCTCCTTGTAAACTACACGTGCAAATGATTCAACTCATTTCACCCAATCCCAATAATGTTGACTCTATAGATATTCCAAGATCCCAAAACGCTTTTCTCTTATACCGCAAAAATTATGCTGCAAAACATAAATATCTTGAGAGTAAAAAGGATTGGAAAACTCTTTCAAAGGAAGCTGGTTATGCCTGGAAGAATGAATCGAACGAAGTAAAAAGTTACTTTAAAATATTAGAAAAGCTGGCTTTTGAAAAACACAAGTCGGTTTATGAAAAACACAAGTCGGTTTATGAAAGTATCATCCAAGTACCAAAGAATTATTTATTTATTTCTCAAGAACAAGAAGCACAAAAAGAACAAAAAGAAAATTGCAATAATAACACAATTTCATTATTTTCCACTCCCTTTCTTCCACCACCTTCCACTTCCTATTTTCCTTGTACAGATGATAATATAAGCTCGTCTTATCGACAACCAGAGCTACAACAAATACAAATAGATGATAATAATGCAGATTATGTAGATTCATCATCACATTACTTATATACAAACTATAATTCAAGCTTGTCTCATCAACAACAAGAACTACAACAAAAAGAAAAAGATGATAGCAATAATAACAATTGCACGGTTTCAACACTGCCTTATCCATACCCTTCTTTTTCTTCTTTTATAAGCGATAATCCAAGCTCATTATCTTTCACTTTTTTTAATCCTTCCACTTCTTTTCATTCGTATTCTACTTCGTCTAATTTTAATCCTCTTCCTATTAATGATGATGACAACATTGTCAATAATACTAACACTCCACCTCAACCCGCCAAATTTAACAATACTATGAATTTAAATTATGATGAAAAACTCCTAAAAGAATTTGAAGGTTTATCAGATGAACAAATTAACGCACAATTTAATAGTATCAATTCTCGGAATTTGTATTTTTTTTGAAAATATGAAATAGTAAACAGCATTTTTTAAATTGACAAGTAAATATTTTTAATTCAACGTACATATAATGACAGCTTGTCATAATTTTTAAACCCCGATTTTTATGAATTTACCATCTATGCAAATTAGGTATTGAATTTTTACTAAATAAATATATTTTAATATGTAATATTTATTTATGAGTGTTGATTTGAAAAATATATTAATATATTTACATTCAAAAATGATGTTGTTTTTTGGGGTTGTCTAATAACCTTTCCGAAGAAAAATTTATAATTGTTGAATGGACAGTTGATCTTAACAGGGGAACTACAAGAGTTTCATTTCAATATGCAGAGATGATCTGTAACTATTGTCCAATAAGAATGAATGCTACGTTAAAATCCGCCCGTTGAGATTAAAAAAAAAAAAGGTAGTTCATTTTAAGAAACATCGCTTTGCAATTTAAAATTGTTCACAGCTTTTAAAAAACTTTTAAAACTATAACGCAATGGATGCAGACTCAAAAAACAAAATGTTTAAAGAATATATTAATATCAGTTTCATGCAGCGTTGGAAGTCACAAGTCGTGACTAAATTACAGTAAATAAAATTTCAAAAATAATACTTGAACAAAAGTATCAGACGCCCCAAATGCAAGTGCGCAAAAAAAGGTTCTGAAGGATTGTGTTTTTTAACAATTGAAAAATGAAAAATCAACCAATCTTTGTTAATTACCATTATCTTGACAATATCGACTATTGAACATATGAGGTAACCTATTAAATGATGCATCCGTCCAATGTTAAAAGGAGGCTCCTATCAATTAAATTCTTTGATTTTTGTTTTTGAAAATTTAATAAATAAATTACATAAAGTACAATTCCTGGAAATTGCAAAATCAAATTTTAGTAACTTCATTATCAATGGTCAAAGCTAGATATAAATCGCAATTTAATCAAATAATAATTTTATTAAACTAAAAAATCTAATACTCACAAATTTGTGCCTAGCATCGAATAAATTGGAAAAGAGTCGAAAGATGCAAAAACGAATATAAAGATATATTAAAAAACTGGAGAAATTCAAGATTTTTGAGAAGGCAGAAAGATTCAAGTAATGAATAGAGCACGAAAATAAGTAGAAGGATTGAAGGTAAAGATAGACAAGTGGAAAGAAGATATTTGGAAATGGGAGATGATGCATCAATAGGAATTACCAAAGAAGCGCAGGTAAAGTAAAATAGACAACCGGAGGTTTTATATTTAACATTAGTACTTTATTTTATTATGATTCTTTCATGCACATGGTGATATTCGTATTAGACCAATTACCTATATAACACCAATATAGTAGGTTTGATGAATTAGAAGTTTTTCAAGCAATTGGTAAAAAAATGAATTTATATGTATTAATAATTAACAAAATACAAATAACAAAATTTTTTTAAAATATCTTATATTTTTTGTTCGCTTGATAATATTATAATTAGATTCAGAATACTATAATTAAACGATTAATAAATATTATTGTAATATTAATCAAAACAAAAGAATTTATAAGATTAACAAATAATTATTGCGAGGCATGTATATTTTTTAGTAAAGTGTTCTTTGCACTGTTTAAAGACAGATCTGATCCATGTTATATATAGCATTTCAATTTACTAACGTGATAATAATATTATTGTTAAGATTTATTTAGTTTTTTATCATTTAAAAAAAGTATTTTTATTTAATTTTAGTGATTTTATTAAAAAAAGTTTTTTTATAATACAAAAATTTATTTATTTCTATATAGACATCTATATATCTATTAAAATTATATTTATATATTTATATGTAATATTAGGCTGATGGAACACGCAAAAATCTATTTGGTGTAGTATCATCCAAACCGTCAACAACACCTTTGGTACTTAGACTTATAAGTTTTGATGCCATACTACTTGGACTTGCGTTGCCTTCTTTAGCAATAATCAATGCAATTGTTCCTGAGACATGTGGTGTTGCTTGGCTGGTTCCTGAGAATACGACTGAACCATTGTTATCATCAAAAGTGGCAGATTTAATATTACGACCTGGTGCAAACATATCAATACATTTGCCAAAGTTTGAGAAATCGGTAATTTGGTCACTTTTATCTTCTGTTGCACCAACTGTAATGGCAGATGGTGCAGATGCTGGTGAATCTCCACAAGCATCTGCAGAATCATTACCTCCTGCTACTACAACATGAATACCTGCACTGGTAAGTCTTTGGACAATATCATTGATAGCTTGAGAAAAACCTCCGCCAAGTGACATGCTAACGACAGTGTTTTTGTTGGAATCTTTTTTATGCTGACTGAGAACGTGTAACATACCATTAACAACATCAGTATTTGTACCACTACCATCAGCAGCAAGTACTTTTACCGCAAGTAGGTTACATTTCTTGGCTACTCCAAAAGTCTTTCCGCCAACTGTGCCAGCAACATGGGTACCATGACCATTATCATCTTTATCGCCACATCCTTTACAAAAACTAGCACTATGTTTTGCACGTCCACCAAAGTCGCTATGGTCAACATTGATTCCAGTATCGATAACGTAGACATTTACGCCTTGACCAGCTGTGTCAGGAAAGGTGTATTTTTTGTCAAGTGGCAAATTAGCTTGATCGATACGATCCAAATTGAATAATGGATTATTAACAACGGCTCTAGATTGAAGAACATAATTTGCTTTGACTTTCTGTTCTCGTTCGACGATAGAAACTTCATTCAATTTTGCTATTTTTTTAGCATCTTCAGGAGTAAAGTATCCATTGTATCCGACTACGTCTGAATCAACAGAGAAATCATAGATCATTTGTTTATCATCTGATCTTGCAGAGAAGTTGTTTGCATTGACTTTTTGAATTTTTCTTCCTAAACATTTTTCCAACATTTTAAAATGTTTGGAGGCAGTATTTTTTTTTGAAGACGATGATGTAGAAGAAGAAGATTTCAATATGACAATGTGGAGTTTAGCGTTTTCAGAGGAAGAAGGAGAAAATTTGGAGGCGAATTGACAATTGACATCATCATTGTTGTTAGGAGCCGATTGAGCAGCTGTGGTCAAAAAAGCAACGATAACAGCAATTGAAAAGAATTTGTATGAAACCATTTTTATTATTTTTAATTGATAGAAAAAGATTCGAGAGGAGAAGTAATAAAAGAAGTTTTTTTAATGATTGTAAGATAATCTCGCAGAGATTAATAATATGTTGATATGGCAAAGAAAAGAAAGATGTTGTTGAAGGTTTGAATTTTTATTTGTAAATTAGGTTTAAGGAAAGTAAAAGAAAGTAAAAGAAAGTATTATTATTATTTTGTTTTATTTTTTTTTTTTATTTTTTTTTGAAGAAAAATTCATCCTTTTTATAGAAAAAAAAATTACCAAAAACAAACAATAAACAAATTCAAAATTCGGTTTCTCGGTTTTGATGATCATATTTGTATATTTAAATTTGTTCGGCCATTATTTTTGCATCAAGAAGAAAATTCCATTTTCCAAAAATATGTGCAGATCTTTCCATTAAATTCATTGCTTACTATTTGCAGATATATGACGTCTGCCTATTAATTATTATTTTTTTTTTTTTTGGTTTACAAGAAATTCTTTTGTTAATTGAACTTGTACTTGAACAATTATTGTTATTTATTGTTTTAAAAATTTATCTCATGATTAAAATTTGAAACCGTGGATTTTATAATTACACATTCTTTGCCAACCTTTTTATTTCCTCAAAAAGTAACCTGTTACTATTACACGAATGTAAATTATTCAAGCGAAAAGATAGAATGCTAAAACTAAAAAAAAATTGAATATATGACTTATATGTTTGTGAGACATCATTCATTTTCTATTGTCTAAACATTGTACTTGCATATATCATATACGAGGTTTTTATAAAATATCATTGACAATTGAATACGAGTTTAATTGTCAACAGATGATTGTTATAACGATTATAAACTTTGATTATCACAAATTTATTTAAACATTATTTGGTTAGTTTTTTATAATCATTCGATTAGTATGTTCTTTAGCTCTTTCTTTCAATGTATTTTTAATATCATTTCATTACTTCATTTGATATTTTCAAATAACATCTTTAAGCGTTCTGAACATTCGGGAGTATGCAATTCTAATTGGAAAAAGAAATGAGATTCAATGTATAATTAACATGGGACGTTTTGTCATTCCATAATTAAAAAACGATTGGGAATTGATCTAATGATGTCGATCCTTTCCGTTTATCACGAATTCCGAATGTTTTCTTATCTTCGATACGCGCCTAAAAGTAAATAACCGTTTGCATTTTTTCTTTTTTCTTTGATATACGACACGCCCCCATTCACGATTAACAAAAGGACTACGAAGGAAATTATTTTATTGATGCTAAATTTTTTGATGATCTGCAGGATACGTCACACAACCAATATTTTTTGTTTACATAAATGAAAATGAAAACTATATACATCTTGAAACTCTAGTATATATCGTTAAAAATTAGGAGCTAAACAAAAGACAGTATACCGAAAGACAATATATAATAACAGTTGACTTATGAACAAACAACGCATGGATCTTTGAGTACTAAATTAGAAATGTTGGTTTATTTCGTTCACTCATTTATTCATCTATTCATTAACTAAAAAGAAATGTAACTTCAAAAAACAGATAATGGGGAAGAACAACATAATTAACGGTAGGAGATAATGAACAATATTACTACTAATAACTTATTGTATATAACATCATATTAATGTTGTTTTTTTTTTTTTAAAAAAAAACAGGCCGATCTACCAATTAAACAATGGGATTGGATTATTGTTCAAAGTATAATGATGGGTAGTAAGTAATAATATAAATAATAATTCTTATTGTATATAACTGTATTAACGTGGTTTACTATTATGGTTATTGTTATGTATACAACCAAAGTATAACTAATTTATTATTGTTACGTGGTAACTAATAATATACGTATTGTATTAACGAGGTTATTATTATTATTATGCACGCGACCATCAAGGTAAGTAATAATGTATTATTGAAAAATATTATTATTAATAATTTATTGTATACATATATAACATTGTATTAACGGGTTTATTATTATGGTTTATTGTTATTATGACGATCCATTAGTTCGGACAAATATAATCCCTCGTTGTACGTAAAAAGGTTGCATTTGTGCCGAGATTTGCATCTAAAATAATTACTTATTATATATTAATCTTAATATGGAGAGAAGGCTAATATAAGAACTCTGAGTAAAGATGTTCTAATAAAGAATATTTGTAATGATTTTATATCAAAGAGAAATGAGATCCACAAATTGGAGAAGTTGTAACACATGATCAATGGGTCGAAGACATTCATGTTAGGGAACGCATAGCAAGTGGAATTACTGATGTTCTTTTACATGAAATTAAGTTGAATGCGCTTCAAAGAGTTTCCAGGAGTTCGGAAAATACATTAGTGGAGATCGCTCGTTTAATAGATATGACTATGTATCATCTACGTGTGGATTTTGAGATCGAAGTTACCAGGTCCGAACGACAAAGCATAGCCAGTAAAAACCGAAAAGTCATGCAAAAAACGGGATCGAGAGGTGATAAACCTGATATCATGATTCGCGCTTATCTTCTTCAAAAATGGGAAGAACTTGTGTTCTTTGAAAGCGGAAAATGTGATGCCAGCGAAGATAAGATTAATCTTGATCATAATAAACTGGTACAGCTATGTCTGGATGGATCTAAAGAGCTTGTAAAGAAATGTGCGAAAGAAATATTTTATAAAAATTATATAGGATTCGGTGTCAATGTTGTAGGTAAGTATCTTGAGATTCATGGATTAATAAAGGGAAAAGAGGTAAAATACCATCTCCCAGTTGTTAAAGCAAAAATACCCTTGGGTAAAGAAACGGTTGAGGAAGTAGAAGAGTTCGTTCATGCATTATTGGTTTTGCGAGTGAGTATTCTTTTATTAATGCAATTTTTTGCACCTTGTGTCAGTTCTGCTGAAATATATGTTTATCATGTAATGCTACTAATATAAAGAAAATCTACAATCTTCAGAATGGAATCATTGTAAATTTACAGGTTATTGTAAACAGTCTTCAAAAAAAATCGAAATAAAGTATTCTAAATCGATTTTGTAATATATATTATTTTTATTTTATTTTTCCTATATCAATAAACTGACTCAGGTGGTCAAGATTTTCATAAATATATTCAGTGTAAGCACAAAGTGTTGAAAAAAAAGCTAACTATTACATACACTAGCTGGATAACAACATCACACGAAATTTATAACATTATGCATCTAGTACTAGACTTTGATAATTATATATTCGAAATTTCACGTTGTTAGCTTCCAAGTATCAAGATTAATAAAAAAAACTAAAATCCAAATAAAAAATTTAAACATTTTGCTATATTTTCACGTTTTTTAAAAATTTACATAATAAAAAATTGTAAATTTTACATAAATGAGGGTTATTGTTTTGTAGAATAAATATATGAAATTTCGTATATATTTCTATCATGTCTAGAATCGCGACCAACGAAAAATTAATAAATAATTTCATTTTTTAATATATAATAACAATTTTATTTTTTGTTGAATTTCTAAAAAATGGACAGTGAACTTGTAGGATAAATGAATTTCTTTAATGTTTGGTTTTACACCAACATATTTCACATCGCTATTTTCTTCCGTATTTAAAACCCTTTCATTCTCATTGAATTTATTATTATTTTAAGAAAAAACAGATTTGTCAAAAAATGAATGCATTATTTTTAAGAAATTTAGTCCAGAGATTTGAGTGTAATTTTCTTCTAATTATAAAAGTATTATAAAAAAAAAAATGAATCGAGTAAAAAATTTTGACTGTAGCTAACGATAATACATATTTGAATTAATTAATCTTTATCAATGATTCGGAAAACTTCCAATTCATCAAATACACTATTATTTACTATATTAATATTATTATAAGTCCTTATATTACTACGAATAATACCATTTGTATTAAATACAATATCACAACCACCACCAAAAATAGGTAAATTATAAAAACTACAATAAACTGCATTGTCAAAATCATTATTAATAACATAACTAAATTGTGCATTATTAATATCATTTCTATTGCTAATATTAAAAATAAAACTTTCCGTTGTGTTTTTATATATATAAATTCCATCATTTCCATTCCAATTGAGTGGATTATATCCACCTACTAATTGCTCCGAATTCTGTATTTTGCCAACTACAAGAGTTCTGTTAATATTGTCGCACTTTTGATGAAATGTAACATAACTTAAACCATCCTTACTACTACAATATAAAAGTTCGAACTTGTATTTAACATCTCGGAATGAAGTGTATGGTTGATTTTTTCCATCGATCCAACTTGAAAAAAGCAAAGTGACCTTTTTATTAATTGTTAATGGTCCAAGTTCTGAAAATGTTGATTTTATTTTTGGATTTCTTGACGGAAGTAAATTTAAAGCATTTTGTTCATCAGGAACCAAACGATGTTTTAATAGAAGTTTCCAAAAAGTTCTAGGAAAAATCTTTTGATATGGCAAAATTTTGTTACTGAAATCCTTATTAGAGATATCCTGGAATCTAATCAAAGGAATAAATTCCTTCAGAGTATTTTTCAAAAAAGAAAATTTTTGTGATGGCCAATCTTCAACGTTATTATTTTTATCAATTTCTGGATGTCTTGCTAATCCCCATTCAATAATATTTTCCCAAATAACTATCTCATCAACAGAAAAGTCATCTCTTTTGAGAATCTCCAATAGAATTGGTTTTTCTAATGATTGAAATTCACTTGAATCAAATAACTCTTCACTATATTCACAAAATGTTTCTAAATAAATATTTTTTAACTCCTTGAAAATCTCTTCATTTGAACAAATTGACTTGATAATTCCGACCGGATTTTCCTTTATATAATCTTCATGATTGACAATAAAATAATTCATTGCATGCTCATAAAATGACTTGAGACCAAGTTCATTAGCCACAATTAAAATTTCCAAAATATCAACTCCAGTAAATTTGTCTAATTCAATTTTACTAGTATATAAAAATCTTTTAAAATAAAAAAAGATATTAAATTAAAAAAAAAATTTTTTCAATTAATTGCTTAACTTTTGTAAATTACTTACTTTAGAATAGGGTTAAAAATTGATTCATCAATATTTGGTTTTTTAAAAATATAATAACCATTTTTTTTCGTTGCATTGGTTAAAGCATTTTTAAAAAATGGACAATGAACTTGTAAAATAAATGAATGGGCATAAATTTCTTTAATGTTTGGTTTTACACCAGCATAGATTTTTACATCACTGTTTTCCCCTGTATTTAAAAATCTTTCATTTTCATTAAAATATTTTTCTGTTATTGTTGAATCCATTTTTTTTCTGAAAATTTTCAAATGGCCATTTACCACATGTTAAATTTATAAAAAATTGACGGGTCCCGCCACGCAACACAAGTAGTTCAAGTACACGCATGAGAAGTAATGATCCACCAAATTTTTTTTAGCATCATTTAAGTTATTATGACGAATCTCCCCGTAATATTATTTGTGAATTACAAGTGAGTATTGCATATAATAGAAAACCCCCGTATTATTATTACTGTCTACAATATACTTGGTTCTTTTATTTAAAAATTTTTTGTTGAATGGTACTAGTAGTAAAGCATTTATAAAACCCTTTAAAACCATTAACTAACGCCCCCGTAAAGTAATGACCATATGAAATTTTGGAGCCTTTTACACCTTCTCAGCTACAATCAAGTCTTTTAACTTTGAAGCGAAAAAGTAATACCATTTCGGAACAGCTGTGGATTTATGTAGAGAAGATCTTTCAATATGAAAGGTATTCTTTAATGGAGCAATTTTGTTTTACTTTAATAATGACATTCAAGTTTATTTGATACAAGGTAAGTTTAGAAGAGATCGGTAAAAATTTTAACACGTGGTGAACTTGTAAAAAATTTCGTGTTGCTCAAAATCTCTTTTTTTTTTTATTATATAATAGAAGTATTGTCATATTTTTTCTGAAGAACAAATGAATGATTACATGAATAGTTTATTTATTTATTTTTTCTCGATATTAATAGAATGTTGTTGTGCCCTTTCTATGGAAAATCAAGATAATCAAATTCATTAATTGACCACAAAATAAATCCACAAAAAAATATAAAGCAACTTTGATAAAGAAATGCTTCTTAACTCATGAAGATATTTTCAATTTGAAGGTAAAGGTTCTCAATACAAGACTGTCACCTAAAATATTACCAATGTAAAAATATGTTTTTCGATAAATTGCTTTCTTTGTTTAACCCACAGATGTATAAAAATTTTGATGGAAAATGATTGCATAAGTTAAACTCTTAATAAAAATTTTTTGGCGCTAACTATATAAAAGTTCGTAACATATTAAGAAATTTTATAAATGGGCTATGTTAGAATATGTTTATTGTTATCCGAAATTATTCATAGTTAAAAAAAAAAAAAACTCTAATTCGCATTCGTCATTGCAGTTAGAACAAACAAAAAATCGTTGAAAAGTATAGTTGAATTTCCTTTTTATCAACAATGGTTCATTCATCTCAAAAAAAAAAAAAAAGGAGAAATGATTATCATTTGAATATTTTAATGACAAAAATCAATGATGGTGAAGAACCAACCAAATGTAACTGAAAATCATACACACATTCATAACAAAAAAAATGGTTAATGAATTGGTTTTTTGTAAGACAACCAAATCATTAGTTTGAAATTAATAATTACATCATTTATTTATAAAGACTTTTGTATATTTATAAAAATGAATTATACAATTATATTGGAATCAATGCATTGGAATTATCGATAGCAGGAAATGCGCTTAATCTTCAATCACTTTACAAATGCGAAATACTTAATTCCGGCCAAAAATACAAATTCAAATTATATTTATACTTTTAATATTTTTACCACAGGTCAATTTTGCATAAAAAAATTTATATGAATTATTGTTATTAATAAGCAAATAAAACAATCCATCCCATAAAAAATTTAGTCAGAAAATGTATGGTTTTTTCATACATTTTCCGCATATTCTGTATGGGATATGTACGGAATTATACATTAAAAGAGCGCTTTTCCGCACATATTTGCCCTGAAAATGCACTGAAAATGTACGGAAAGTACATGGAAAATGCATGGAATATGTATGGAATTTTCGGAAAATGTCCTGAAAAATTACATTCCGTACATTTCCTATGCATTTTCCGTATATTTTCAGGGCAAATATGTGCGGGAAAGCGCTCTTTTAATGTATAATTCCGTACATATCCCATACAGAATATGCGGAAAATGTATGAAAAAACCATACATTTTCTGACTAAATTTTTTATAGGGATATGATGTAGGAATCAATAACAGAATAGTTGGTTCCCTTTAGAAAAGCAAAATAAAAATGCATTATGAAATTATTTTTACTTCTCGATAATTTGCGTACAAATGTATAATAAGAATCTTCTACAAAAATAAGGATCGGTTCCTCAAATTATTGTTACAGCTATCACAATTATGGCTAGAATTGGCACAGTTACGAAGCGATTCAAACGTTCCAATAACGGCTGGGATCCTAGTAAAAAGACACTTCGTCTTGGTGTGTGACTTTGTCAATTACGAGGTGACCCGAGCTTCGTCGATTATACATAGTTCATCCCAAAAAATAAAAAGACAAACTTCAAATACGAATGGCCGTCTACATTTCCATGGCTGAAATATGATGATACTAATAAGTTGATGCATTGTAAACTTTGCTACTAAAGATAATAACAATAAAATTTGTTTACAGCCAAATCTTGTTTCAACGAATTATAACATTCACGTTGCAATGAATGTCTCCTTCGCGTACATATTGAAATATATAAGAAAAATTGTATTTAAAACTCGTTATGCCAAAATTGTTTAATGCTGATTGCGTTGTTTGACTGTATTATAAATTTTTTTTTTAATTTTATAATAAAAATAAATAATGTATTAGCATTAACATTAAGACTTAATGGCTAACACCATTCATAGTTGAATGATTTCCGATTAAATACTTGCTTTGGACGTTTTATAATTGAAGATAAAAGCTCTGAAATCAAGTCTATCGATATCTGGCTAGCTCTTGAGAAGAGAAAGTAATATTTTTTTTGGATCACACCGATTTCAACTATTTTCTTTTCTATGCTAATAATAATATTTCTTGATTTGAAAATTTATAAAAAGTAAAGCTAACAATATTTTATTTAATCCTTGCGATATTATGTACATAAATTGCAAATTAATATTAATATTAATATTAACATAACTAAAGGAAGCAACATCAATGCCATTTCTATTATTTATATTAAATATAAAACTTTCTGTTGTATTCTTATATTCATTATTCATGTTTACATTCCAATTAAGTGGATTGTAACCACTAAATATTTGCTCCGAATTTGTTGATGTTGTCACATTTTTGATATTTAAACTATCTCTACTACAATGATATAGAAGTTTAAATTCATATTTGGGTTCTCTGAATGAAGTATATGGCGGATTTTTTTTATCAATACAACTTGCATAAAGCAATATTAACATTTGGTTAATATTGATTTAATCTCTTGATTTCTTGATGCTAATAAATTCAATGTTTGTCATTCTAAGAGAGTTTCCCATAAATCATTAGGAAAAAGGCAAAATTTTGTAACAAAAATCCTCGTTAGAGATATCCTGGAATCGAGCCAATTATTTCAAAGCGTTTCTGAATGCTTGGCTAGTTCCATTTAAGAATAATTTCTCAATACAGTCGGCGCTCGATATAGTGAAATTTTGGCTAGTACAAATTTGAAAACTATCTGCGTGAATATCCAATCACATCCAATTTTCTGAAGATACATTCGGCGCTTGATATACCGAACTCTCTGTCCTATATGTAATTTTTCTGCTTTTGTTCATTATAGAGAGAGAAATTAATTATAAAAAATTGAATCAGAGACAAAAGAGAAGTTCGTTATAGAAAGAATAGAGAGGTTTGGTATAGAGAGCTTAGACTGTATAGACGGTAAAATTTTTCAATTCCACTTCATTAGAGTAGGATTTAATTTATTTTTAATTATTTTTTGTAAGGATAAAATCACATGTTACAGCATGATCTTGTTTATTCTCACAATCATGATAAACCTTCGTTATGGTAGAAAACACATCAATTTTATTAATTATATAAATGAATATAAAATTGAAATATATTATATATATTTATATTGGCTAATTTAAAAATGAATAATTTTTCTTAACTATCTTATATACTTCATAATCTTTTACTAAATTAGATTCTATATCAAAATATTTTATATCATTATCAGTAAGATGCAAGTTATTTTCATAAGAATTGCTCTCCACATCAAAGTGATAATAATACATAAGTTCTCCAAAAGTGCTGCAAAAGAGTTTTAAATCATTAAAGTCTATAATTGTATGATCTGTATGAAATATTGCATATTTAGGATATTCAATTCTACTTAATATTAAACTATCCATTTTGTTTTCATCAATTTTAAATATAAAACTTTTGTCTGTTTCAATAAAATATTCTTCATATTCAGGCTTCTCTTTTATATGCCAACCAACTGGATTGTAGCCACCAATAATTTCATCTGTTTCGTTAAGTTTCATTAATACAATAGTTTGTTCAATATCATGACATCTTTCTTGAAATTCAAAATCACTAAATCCATCACGACTACCTCGGAAAACCAATTCAAAATCATATGGTAGATTATTTAGGTTGTATGAATCATTTTTATTATCAATCCAGTTGGAAATTAAAACTCTCATTTGTAAATTAAATAATCCTTTCCCTAATCTTAAACTTTTTTGAAGTAGTGAATTTGGCTGCCAATTATTAAAACAACAATATTGTAAAAGTCCTTCATATTCTTTTTCATCAAAAATTTTTTTAAATGGATTAATCTTATTATTAAAATCACTTGCAGAAATATGATTAAATCTAATTAGTGGTATAATATCAACCAATATATCCTTTAACTTTTTAAAATCTTCATCATTCCACACTGAAATGCTTTTTTCTTCACTTTCAATTTGTCCAATTCCCCATTGAATGATATAATCCCAAAGATCAATCTCACCTAATTCTAATTCTTCCCTTTCTAAAATAGATATAAGCATGGGCTTTTCAATAACTTTGTAGTCATCAGATTTTAAAAATAATTCTGGACCTTTTTTAATTAAATTTTCAAAATAATCTTGGAGTATATTAAATGATAGATAACTTGATAAAGTCTGATAAAGATAATTTAAATTTTGTTTAACCCATTCACTCTTTTTTTCAATTAAGAAATATTGCAATTCATCAAGTAATTCATTAAGATCCAATTCATCACATGCCACAAGAAGTTCAATAATTTCATAAGGATTCAAACCATCCTTATTAATAATTCCATTATAAATATATCTTTTTTAAAAAAACAATTTTTTTAAAATAAAGACATTGTTAAAAAAATCACATTAATATTATAATTGTAATCAAGTAATTAATTTAATTGAATTAATCTTACATTAAAATCACTTCAAATATCTTTGGAGATATGTTATCTTTTTCAAATAAAATGGTACCATCCTCAGACTTGCTTACCCAAATATTTGATAGAGCTGCTTTAAAGTATGAAGACCTTGCTTTTAAAATGTTTGAATGAGCTTTAAAAATTCTAAAATCCTCTTGTTTTATTCCAACTTTAATCTTTACATCATAAAAGTCTGATTCATTCAACAGTTTTGTTAAATCATTTACAAGTTTATTAATATGTTTAACCGGTAAATCAAAATAGTTTTTAAACATTTTGAATAAAATTTATTTTTTTGAAAAAAGAGCCGATTGTAATTCATTGGAATTCACATGTTTTTTTGTGTAATAAAAGGGTGATATTATCGACTAAATTTGGAATACTATTATTAAGTAATTATTCCTTTTATCAACCTCATCAAACCATTTTTTAAGTTAACAGCAGAGCCACTCACATATTGCAAATGAAACATTTTAAATAATAGAAGAAATGTAATGATTTACATCTACAAAAAAAAAATGATAAATCATTTGTTGATTTAAATATTAATTTGAATAATGATTGTTTGTGGGGCATCACTAAGAAGTTATAATCTCAGCAAAAAAATTATCATTGCATTTGGTGATGAAAGAAAATGGGTAGGTGTATAGGATTCTTTATAGGAAACTTTGTCACCTGGAATATCTTGGTTGTCTCGTGGTTATAAAGATCCGAGTTTAGATCTTCTAAAATGCAATATGATAACACTAGAAAATATATGTGAAAATATTGATGGAGGACTGGGTAGTCATGCTAAAATGCAAAAATTATAACAGTCTGGAATACCTACAGAAATCTTCATTATATTGTAACTTATATGGCAGCAAATGGAATAGATGGCCAGATATTTTCACACAATCAACATCAACAATTAGCTAACTTAACCACCTTTCTACTTGTCATCAACCAAATATACCTATCTAAATAAATTTTTTTTTTTTTTGGCTATTAAAGGTATTAAATTTAATTGTATTATTAAACGTTTATATATATATATGTTAATGTCAACAAATCATTTTATTGCAACTTAACAATTGAATTGCTTTCCTCTAAAATAAAATATACATTGTGTTTCATTGTAATGGTCAAGGTATTTTTAAAAAATATGAGCAATGTGAATACAAAGATAGAAAAATGTGCATAGTGAAATCCTTTTAATATTTAGTTCTTTACCAGCATGATCCATATTTTTATTTATAAATGGTAAAGATGAAGTTTGGTTCTGTCTGATTAATTTTTATCAATTATTTGAAAAACTTCCAATTCATCAAATCTACAACCATTTACTATATTGATGTTATCATAAGCATGTGAAACATTATATACTACTATTTGGATAAAAAACCACCTCCAAAAGTAGGTAAATAAGAAGAATTACACCAAATTGCATATTCATTATTATTATTAACATAACTAAATTGAGCAGCATTAATGTCATTTCTATTATTTATGTTAAATATAAAACTTTCAGTTGTAGCTTTAAGTTCCCTCCCATTCCAATTAAGTGGATTATAATCACCAACTATTTGCTCTGAATTTTGTATTTTGCCAACTACAAAAGTTTTGTTAATGTTGTCACATTTTTGATGAAATATGTCTCCATCTAAACCATCTTTACTACTACTACGATATAGAAGTTTAAATTCATATTTGACTTCTCTGAATGAAGTGTATGGTGGATTTTTTTTATCAATCCAACTTGCAAAAAGCAATATTAACATTTGGTTAATTTTTACTGATTAAAGTTCTGGAAATATTGCTTTAATCCCTTGATTTCTTGATGCTAATAAATTCAATGCTTGTCGTTTACCAAAAAGTAGATAATAATTTAATAGAGTTACCCAAAAATCATGGGAAAACAGTTTCTTAAAAGGCAAAATCTTGTACAAAAATCCTCATTAGAGATATCCTGGAATCGAATTTAAAGAAATTAATTCTTTTAAAGTATTCCTTAAATCAGTAAAATTTTGTTCTGACTATGCTTTAATATAGTTTATATTATTAATTTCTGGATGCTTGGCTAGTCCCCATTTAAGAATACTTTCCCAAATTATTATTTCATCAACATTGAAATCGTCTCTTTTAAGTATAGCCAATAAAATTTGTTTTTCCAATAATTCAAATTCACTTGACTC